CTGTCTCCCATGTAATGTACAGCGCTGAGCGAACTGTTGGTGCTTTATAAATACTGTATAATAATAATTATAAATAATGTTTTCAGTTTGTGGTGCTCAGGTACAATTTATTTCTGCTTTAAGAAATCCCATGGACATGCCTAATTCTTTTATCTATTCTTATATGCAGTAAGAATAAGCTATTGTTCCCACTAATGTCTTGTGAGCCATTGATGTAATAATTAGCAGGGGCTCCCTGAAAATGAAAAGGTATTTCAAGGGTTCCTCTGTGTTAAAAATGTTGAGAAAGGCTGTCTTAGACTGAACTGGATTGGTGTCCTCTTATGTAACTGACAGAATTGCAACTTGGAAGCATCTGTTACCTTTATTGTACTGTAGGATGCTTAAGTCTTTCTGCATTTGATGTTCAAAGTAAAATGCTACTAATTATTAAAGGACTTAAGCCAGTACATACATAATTTTTTACTGCTAAAGAATTATGGATTTTCCTTCACTGAGCCAACCATGTGGGTTTTAATGGCCAGATGGTACACTTTCCTTCTACAAATCTACTTTCCTTTTAAAGGAAATAAGCAGACACTTAGGCCCATTCATACCTTTGCAGTGCTTTAGTGCATGAACCATGAACCTTAACACGCATTATTCTGCTCTCCTTAATGTATATTGTTATATAGTTGGCCATTGATTTGAAATGTCTTCCTAATGCAATGCAATAGAAAAGGTGCTTATAGCATTTTTGCCAGCACATTGTAATGTACTTCTGTGCTTTGCTGCATGTTCCACTGCAGCGCACATCTGCCCATAAGGTGTGTTAGGGTGCCATTTTGAAATGGAATAACCTGCATGGTAAGGAGCATCACACATTCCATATATTGGAATATACTATCAGAAATAGGGGCAGCAATGGATGTAGTATATGTAAACTTTGCTAAAGTGTTCCTCACAGACAGCTCTGTGGATAGAAAAACTGACCTAAGATCACCTTCAAAGAGTTATGATTATTCATTTAGAGTGAATGGTCTTTGGTTGTAATCAGTGCACCTCAAGGTTCTGGTTTGGAATCATTACTTTATAACAGTTTCTAAATTAGACATTTGGGATTTAAAGTACCAACTCTGTGTTTACAAGTGCCACAAAGCTTTGTACAGTAAAATAATATAGCCCTTGAAATATGTTTATACCTTGATATTGGCATTGTGCATTGGCAGATTGGGCAACTGCATGGTAAAGGAGATGCATACATTTTCCTAATGTTGATAAATGTAAAGTTATGTAGTTGAGGTCTACAAAAATGTGCTTGCATCATATAGTCTAGGAGGACTAAAACTGGGTGAACCAATGATGTCTTTCTAGATTAAAGTGAGGGATCATTCATGACATGGCGGCATCCCACACAGAGTGCTGGCCTGTGCTGCACCCAGGCACCCCTAGGTGGCAGTGCGCCCTAGTCAGCCACCTAGTTTGCCTAGTAGAAGCACCGGCCCTACCGGTACCAAAGTGGTTAATTGAACAAACTGGAGTTCGAAGCTGATTGGCTACCATGCACAGAGGCACCAGATTCTGAGTGCTCCAATTTTAGTAAGTCTCCCCCACTGTATTTCAGTTATTTCTAGCCTACTCCTGATAAACTGATACTAAACCAGGACCCTGCTATCACTCTATCTGGTCTCCCACAGTACACAGAACATAGAAATACAATTACTTTAGTAAATATAAACTGCTAAATACCTTTTCTCATCAGCAGTTAGAGCAGTCTTGTGACTCCTATCAGTGTCCAGCACAGCACATGTTAAAGCTTGTAGGAGGAGTTTTCATTCTGCTCTAGGAAGATGCAGAACCCCTGACCTCTGTCTGTGACTCCATACGATATATCTTATCAGGAGATAAGAGGGGGGCACTGGAGAAGGGGAGGATCAGAGAAGTTAGGATCAAACGGCCTTTTTACACAATGCAGAGGATTAACCCCTTAGGTTCCACAGTGAGTATAACAAACATGCTTTACTGCATATACTGACTGATTTTACTGTTGTGGGTTTAGTAACACTTTGATAGCAGCATACAATGCCAATCTGCAGCTTTTAGAGCAGGCACACATTTTTTTTTTTGTATTAAAAGAAGCATAGAAAGGAATACATTAAGATTGGAGCAACCAGAATCTGGAGCAGCTGTGCACTGCAACCAGTCAGCTTCTAGCTTTCCTTTACAAAGCTTAAGGCTGGCCATACATTATACAATTTTCTTGAGAATTTTGCTTTAGATTTACCAAAAACCATATAATATGAGGTCAAACCTAAACAACACTTTCAATTGTATCCAATTAAACAAGCCCTTGCACTACATAGTTGAAGGTAAATCTAAAGGAAATCGGGCAGAAATTGGCCAGAAAATTGTAAGAAAATTGTACAGTGTATGGCCAGCCTTACTGTAGAAGCTGATAATATAAACTAATTGGTTGCTTTGCACACATGTGCCAGTCTACTCCAATTGTTTTGTAAATTCCCTTCATGGACTCAAGAAAGAGCTCACCATTTTTATTTCGGTATATGCAGCTGGCTGTATTGAAGTATTAAATAAGAGGGGTTCACTTTAATAAATAAGATAAAGCTGGTATTACGTCAATCAGAAAATCATGTGCTTTTTCTGTTTTCCTTGTGCTCAAGGTGAACAAAGATTCATTTGATGTGCTGTCATGTATATCACTAAGTGGGCAGTCTATGTTCCTTCAGTAAATAAACTTAAAATTTTGCTGTTATTCAAAGCATTAGAAAGATATCATCTTGAGCTTGCAGGTTTGAGCACCAGTTCACAAGAACCAAAAAATAATTTTCTGCCCCCTCTAAATCTCTCATATATGGGTTTGTAAGGCTGTTGTTTTACCCTTGCCAGATAAAATCTAAACCGTGTTTTTTATATACGCACTGCTCAAAAAAATGTAAAGGAACACTTTGAAAACACATCAGATCTCAGTTGGGAAAAATATCATGATAAATGTCTATACGATATATGATATGGACTGGGTAATGTGTTAGGAATGTAAGGATGCCCCATCATTTGATGGAAATTAAAATTATCAACCTACAGAGGACTGAATTCAAAGACACCCTGAAAATCAAAGTGAAAAAATTATGCAGCAGACTAGTCCATTTTGCTGAAATTTCATTGCAGCAACTCAAAATGGTACTCAGTAGTTTGTATGGCCCCCATGTGCTTGTATGCATGCCTGACAATGAGGGGGCATGCTTCTAATGAGATGACGGATGGTGTTCTGGGGTATTTCCTCCCAGATCTGCACCAGGTCATCACTGAGCTCCTGTACAGTCTGAGGTGCAACCTGGCGGCATTGGATGGACCAAAACATGATATCCCAGAAGTGTTCTATTGGATTTAGGTTAGACGAGCATGGGGGCCATTCAATGTTATGAAGTCCTTCATCCTCCAGGAACTGCCTGAATACTCTCGCCACATAAGGCTGGGCATTGTCGTACACCAGGAGGAACCCAGGACCCACTGCACCAGCGTAGGGTCTGACAATGGGTCCAAGGATTTCAGGGTGCCATTGTCTAGCCTGTAGAGGTCTGTGCATCCCTCCAGGGATATGCCTCCCAAGACCATCACTGACCCACCACCAAAATGGTCATGCTGAACGATGTTAAAGTCAGCATAACGTTCTCCACGGCTTCTCCAGACCCTTTCACGTCTGTCCCTTATGAAGTCTGTTTCTGATTGTGTGGTCAGAGACATTCACACCAGTGGCCTGCTGTAGGTCATTTTGTAGGGCTCTGGCATCATCCTGTTCCTCCTTGCACAAAGGAACAGATAACGGTCCTGCTGATGGGTTAAGGACCTTCTATGGCCCTGCCCAGCTCTCCTAGAGTAACTGCCTGTATCCTGGCATCTCCTCCATGCTCCTGAGACTGTGCTGGGAGACACAGCAAACCTTCTGTATTGATGTGCTATCCTGGAGGAGTTGGACTGCCTATGCAACCTCTGTAGTGTTTAGGTATCGCCTCTTACCAATAGTAACACTGACCATAGCCAAATGCAAAACTAGTGAAAAACAGTCAGAAAAGATGAGTAGGGAAAAAAATGTCAGTGGCCTCCACCTGTAAAAGAATTCCTGTTTTGGGGGTCGTCTCATTGTTGCCCATCTAGCGCACCTGTTGTTAATTTCATTAACACCAAAGCAGCTGAAACTGATTAACAACCCCCTCTGTTACTTAACTGACCAGATCAATATCCCAGGAGTTTAATTGACTTGATGCTATAGTCTGATTAAAAAGTGTTCCTTTAATTATTTTGAGCAGTATATATATATATGTGTGTGTGTGTGTGTGTATTTAATATGTATTAAATATACTGTATATAAATATATATTATCTTGAATGTGGAAGAATAATTTGTACTGACAGCTTCCACACTGATGAGCAGTGCATATAAATCAGTGACCAATCGCCAATTTCTACACCTCTGTCTGCACCATGAACAGTCATACCGTTCTCTGCCAAAAATAATCTTTTAAAGTATATTCTCCGCCAGTACATGTCTGTAAAGTCTGAGTGTAAGGTCACTCTGTAACAGACATGATGATTAAAGACCTTGTGTTCTCGGTCTGTTATAAATTATGGGGAGTTGGGCGTATGTGCTATGTCCCCATTTGATTTCATATGGCCAGGTGGTTGTGGCTAGGGCTGTTTATGTTACAGATAAAGTTTAAAGAGCACTTGTTCTCCAATGTGCACCATTTTTTTTAATCAAAAACATGTATTTTATTTTAATAACTGCATGTGGATAATACTTCTGCTATTAGCATTCAGTATTATCCACATGCATTCATTTTTTATTTTATATGACTTTATTGATCTTTTTCTCCATTATTCTCTACAGTTAAAGTGTTACTAAACTCACAACAGTAAAATCAGTCTGTATATGCAGTAAAGCATGCTTGTTATACTCACTGTGGAACCTAAGGGGCTAATCCTCTGCATTGTGTAAAAAGGCTGTTTGATCCTAACTTCTCTGATCCTCCCCTTCTCCAGTGCCCCCTCTTACCGGCTGATAAAGCATATTGTGTGGAGTCACTCTGCTCATGCTCATTTTGGTGTGCATTGCTACAGAAGGTTTTTTTTTTTTTTCTTGGTAGAGTGCATGTGATCAGCACTGTCCAGGCAGAGGTCAGGGGTCATGCAACCTCCTAGAGCAGAATGAAAACTCCTCCTGCAAGCTTTAACCAGTGCTCTGCTGAACACTGATAGAAATCACAATTCTAACTGCTGATGAGAAAAGGTATTTAGCAGTTTGTATTTACTAAAATAATTGCATTTCCATGTTCTGTGTACTGTCCCACATGGAAGAAAAATATATTTGAAATATATTTTAAAAGTATGGTTCCCAAATATGTTGACATATATTTGAAATGCTACAATTTTAGCCATATTCAATATATTTCAAAATATATTTCAATATATGTGGACTTTATATATGTTTTTTTTTATATTGTCAGGTGTTTTACACCTCACAGGACTTTATATATTCATTCATTTATTCATGTTTGTTTGTATGATCAGTTCTTAGTTTATGCGTTTATTGGGATGCACATGCGTTTTGTGTTATATGGTGGGAACTGATTTTTAGTTCTGGTGGGAGTTTTTCTAGCACATTGAGTCCTGTTGTGACTTACTTGTTTGATTTGGAGCACTATTGGATCCCATTGGATTACTTGGGGCACCATTCATGTTATTTGGTCCTTTTAGGACCTCGTATTGACACTTGTCACATGTGATTATTTATGAGTTTTTTGGCACTATTTAATATTGTGTGTTTATGTTATTTGTGTCACTGTTTTCACTTATTCATTTATGTGTGAAGAATTTTTATGGTAGTAGCACTGCATCATTTGGGTTTCATATATATATATATATATATATATATATATATATATATATATATACACACACACACACATACATATACACATACATACACTGCATGTTGAAATGCGTTTTTTATATATCTTACAAAATATATGAAAAATATCTTAAAAAATATGTTTCTTCAGATTTTTTTTAACATATAAAAAAGTAATTTTAACATATATTTTACATATATTTGTAAATGCAAAATGTAAATGTAAATTCCAAAAATGTAGATTTGTATTTTTAAAGACATACAGTATATTTGAAATGTATTTTTAAAAATAATTTTAATATATTTTGTAATAAAAATGCATTTCAACATGCAGTATATATATATATATATATATATATATATATATATATTGAAATTATTTTGAAACATATTGAATATGGCCAAAATTGTAGCATTTCAAATATATGTCAAAATATTCAGGAATAATTTTTTAAACATATATTTCAAATATATTTTTCTTACATATGGGGTGGGAGATCAGATATAGTGAATGCAGGGTCCTGGGTTTAGTAATACTTTAAGGTAACTATGGTAAACGGTAGGAAAAACAATACAACACTGCTGTGGGTGCTTACATTTGTTTAACTTTTTTTCTGGTTGAATTTTTTTGCTACAAATGTTTACTCCCCTGTTTGTGTATGTACACAGCTTCATATGAGGAATGAGAAATATCTAGGCAACATTCCTTAAATTTAAGAAACAGATTTATAAAAGCAGAAATGAAGCCATGGGTTTCAATTGTTTATATAACACTTACACTGGTTACTCTGTTTTCTGAAAATATCCTAGAAGATTATTATTGACCCACTAATGATTTTTACTTTAATCAGACTTTCTCAATCTACATATGTGCTTAGCTCCCAGCCCACCCTCATTTGAATGGACTTGTCCCTCTTTTGGAACCATATCCCTCTGTCCCTCTTCTGTTGTTCCCTTGTTTAGTCTGATATATAGACATCTATAAAAATGCACAAAATGATTACACTAAACAACATAATGTGATATTTTTAAAATGCCAGCATAAAGGAAATTAACTTGCAAAAGAAAAAAAAAACAGTGGGTTTAACCAATGATTTTGGTGTTTTTTTTATTATGAGGGACGTGCCAATTGCAATGCAAAATATACTTTTTTTTTTTTTTTTTTTTGGATAGATTGGAAAAGGATTAGAATGCTTGTTAGTTTTTATTGCTGTCTGTGCCCCCGTTAAGGAGATTCACCCTCTCTATTTGTTCTGTTTACCATTATTATTGAATTTGAAAATAAATGAAAATCCCACATTTTGGGTTGTCCCTAGAAAAGAAATAGAAGGTAAATCTTCCAACAGGGACACTAGTTCTGGTGACCTGGGAGTCCCCAAGGGATTTCCTTAATTTGCAGGGATTTCTTCTTGCTTCCTGTTTAGCTATGGGACATGAAGGGAAGGTAAATCTCTTAAAATGGGACACAGATGGCAAAAAAAAAAAAAAAAAATCTGACGGGTTATACGCTCCCTTGCTCTATCCTAAAGGAAAAATAAAAGTTTTGCCTATAGCATTACTTTACCATACATAGGTCTTTCAGATATCACATTCTGGTAGAGTGACTCTTCCTCAATAGCAGGGGTCTTGAATTAAAATTTACGGAGGTCCGGTCAGCAAAATTCTCTTCCAGCAGAGGTCCGAATCTCATCAGCGACATAACACACCACAGTTCCCCAGTACATCTTTAGTGTACCTTTCACACTGTAGTCCCCCTACATCACAGTCCCCTCTTTAAAGAAGTCCCACAGTGTCCTCAGTTCCCCTTCACATCACTGCCCCCCTTTACATCACAGTGACCCTTAACATAACACAGCGCCCCGAACACAACACAGCGCCCCTTAATACAACACAGCGCCCCTTAACATAACACAGTGTCCCTAACACAACACAGCACCCCTTAATACAACACAGTGCCCCTAACACAACACAGCGCCCCTAACACAACACAGTGCCCCTTAACAACACAGCACACCTAACATAACACAGCAACACAACACAGTGCCCCTTAACACAACATAGCACCCTTTAACACAACACAGCGCCCCTAATACAACAGCGCCCCTAATACAACACAGCACCCCCTAACATAACACTGCGCCCCTAACACAACACAGTGCCCCTTAACACAACATAGCACCCTTTAACACAACACAGTGCCCCTAACACAACACAGCACCCCATAACAACACAGCACCCCTAACACAACACAGTGCCCCTAATACAACACAGCGCCCCTAACATAACACTGCGCCCCTAACACAACACAGTGCCCCTTAACACAACACAGTGCCCCTTAACACAACACAGTGCCCCCATAACAACACAGCGTCCCTTAACATAACACAGTGCCCCTTTTAATGCAATCCTTCCCCTGCACAGTCCTATGGTACCTTAGGCAGAGCAGAGGACTGATCCTTTTGGGGTGTCCTCTCCTGGGCCTTCAGCCCGCCATCGATGTCATCCTCATAGCGGGTGGGGGTGGGAGGAGCTGCAGATCTGGACTGAGGGGTGGGAGCTGCCCAAGTTATTATGTTAACAAGTGGGCGATTGCCAGGCTTGCTAATATGAAAAGTCTCTGGCTTTCTGTCTCGAGCTGCAGAGAGCGGAAATCTTTAGATATTAACAAGCTCGGTAATCACCAGCTCCCGCCCTCCAGTCCCGATCTGCAGCTCCTCACACCCCGTCCACTGTGAGGATGACATCGGTGGCTGAGTGAGAGGCCTGGAAGAGGATACCCAGGTGTGGCAGTGGCATGGCTGTGGTCTGGACAGGACTGTTCCTCGGTCCAGTCCCGGACCGTGGTCTGCCATTTAGTGACCACTGCTCTGTAGTAACCCTTTAGGTATATGTATAGAAAAGGTGCAGGAAGTGGATCCCTTTGATAATGTGTGTGCACACGAAACGCGTACTGACGTCACGCCGCTACGTCCGCATGATGGTACGGCGGCCATCTTTGTGAGTAGTTTTAACTTGTTTGAATGCTCCACGTGGATGCTTTTATTACTGCAATAAAAATACTACACTATTAGCGGGTTCTGTTTCTGGGCTCCTTTGTGAGCTGGTTCCTTCAGGATTTTGCCATTAGTCATATCGAGGATTGATCGCTGTGCTGTAGGCATCTCCTATACTGGTCTATCATAGCTTCAGTTTGTCTGTGCCTGATGGGAAAACAGCCTGACCTCTATGTGGAGGAGTTTGCTATCTTTGCTGTATATGCGCATTTTACATGCGCTGCTGGTGAGTGCATTGTAAAGAAGTCACTTTCACGGATTCACTTATCACTGGAAGTCACGATCTTCATTTGGACTCATTTTGCATTGTTTAACCACTTCCAGTCCGGACACTTTCACCCCCTTCCAGTCCAGGCCAATTTTCAGCTTTCAGTGCTATCACACTTTGAATGACAATTGCTCGGTCATGCAACACTATACCCATATGAATTTTTTAGCATTTTTTTGAGACAGATTAAACTTTATTTTGGTGGTATTTATTCACCACTGGGATTTTATTTTTTTTGCTATAAAAATGAAAAACATTTTGAAAAAAATGTTTTTCTTATAAACTTTTGCAAATAAATCTTGGCCAAAATGTATTCAGCTATCTTTTTAGTAAAAAAAATAATAACCCAAATTAGTTTATAACCAGAAATTATAAGTTTTCAAAATTTTTTGTTTACATTTTTATTCTTTTTTATATTATTATTTCTGGGTTTTTTTTTTTTTACATACTGTCAACTTGTGGGGGGTGATGAAGATTTTTTTTTTTTTCACATTGATTGCTTTTACACCCATACGGCTGTAAAGGCAATAATTTCTCCTTCTCTCTGGCTGCATTCCTGCAGCCATTGAGAAATAATGTGCGAGCTGTGATTGGTCACAGCTTGTCACATGGAACAAGGCTGTTGTGAATAGCTTTGTACTATGTAACCTCTGTGATCATTCACAGATTTCACTAGTAGTAAACAATGATGTCAGCAAGTGACATCTTGCTCACTACTATTCATATGACCGCTGATTGGCCAATCAGTGATTACATGATCGGGTCCTCACACAGAGGTCCCGTACAGTGATCGGTGTTCCGCTGTGTCCGGAGGACACCAGATCGCGGTGCCTCCCGGGGTGCGCGCACAGGTAGGGAATGCGGTAGGATGTTTATAAACGGCCACCCGTTCCTGCACTGCTCCCGTCCGACCATTTATGTACATTGGCTGGATAGGAAGTAGTTAATATTGGACTTTGAATTTGTTCTCATTCATCACACTTGTTGATTTGTTTCACTACAGTCGCTATTGTTACCACTATTGCACGGCTACTGCAATATATAATATTATATATATATATATAATATTATTTTTTTATATCA